AATGAAGGAGAAGTGGGCAGTCATTACAGCTACCCAATTTGCCCCGGCCTCCCCTTCAAGGGCCTTGCAAGGTGTAGGAACAGTGGCTGGTTTCCCTCTCTCTGTCCTAGCAGCTGCTCATGTCCCTACCACAGGCATGTCACCACTGCTTGTTAGCAAGGATGAATTCTTTAACTTGATCTGTCATTTCACTGGCAAACCTGGAGTCTCTTATTAGGAATCTATTTAGCATCCTTAGACTGGGTATTTAATAGCTCGAGGTAGAGCTTATGCCAGCTGTTGTCAACAGCCAGGAGGGGGGAGAATTATATTGGGTGGCCCAAGGGGCTCTAAGTAACAGGAGGGAAGCGAGCAAAGATGGTTCAGGAACGCCTGCCAACAGGAAGGGCCTTTTTCTGGGGTATGGCCTGGCCAAACCACAGTGCTGCAGTGCTGGATGTGCCCAGTGCTGGACACAGCTGTGGAAAGGCTGCAACCTGCACTGTCTAGGTGAAGGGCATTGTCTTACTCTGCATCCAAGGAGGGATCTAGTGTGGCCATGATCAGGGCTTGGAAATTGGGGTTTGCCTCCTGGCTATGCCTCTCACCTGGAGTGCATTATTTCACTCTCCTCCCCTCCCGCCCTTTATGTTGTATGGTTTATTCAGACACAGACAAACTCTCACTAGCTCTGGGGAGCTGACAGCCTTGGGCGAGGCGGGGGGACTCCTTGCACCTCATGCGCCAGCACCAAAGTCACCAGCTGGTTCCTACAGAGCCCCTGTGGCTGCTGCTGACGAACGCTGCCAGGTTCTCCCGGGGCGTGTTGTTCTAGTACAGTGGTTCCCACATTAGGGATTGTGATCTTAAATGAGGTGACAGCACTTACAACTAGGGTTGTCTGCCCCACGGAGTCAGAAGAATGAGAGTGGGCTCGCACTGGAGCTTGACTTGCAAACCTGGAGGGGGGGTTCACACCCAGAATGACTGGGAATGGCTGCTGTAGGATCTTCCATCCATAAGTCCCCAGATGTTTGGTCAGTGGCAGACTGAGGGATAGTTAGGCTAGATGTGTTGACGAGATCCTCTGAGTAACACAAGCCATCCATGTTCTCCTGTACTGAATCTGATCAGCTGTGTTTGACTGGCATTGCCCAGAAAGTCCCCCTGACTTGAGTGAAAAACAGTGAGAGATGTAAAATCTGCCACTTCCTAGGGGGTGGCTTCCAGCTCCCTTTTAAAAATGTGTGCTTCGTGTCTAACTTGAATCTATCTGGTTTCAGCTTCCAGCTATTGGTGTGTGCTCTGCTTTTCTTCGCTAAATTGAAATTCCTCAACTATTTGGTAGTTTTCCATGTAAAGATGCTTATATGGCATAATCAAGACTCCTCTCAATCTTCTTTTTGATAAGCTAAACAGATTGTGCTCCATAAGCCTCTCTGTGAGGCATGTTTTCCAGCTCAATTGTTTTTTATGGCTCTTTTCTGCAAATTGTCAAGATCCGCTTTAAAACATTAGTCCACAATTGCCCGTTGTGTCCCAGTACTGGTCTCACCCATGTTGTGTCTACACCCCTCTGTGTTGCTCCACACCATTCCCCTGTTCACATATCACACTCTCCCATTGTGTCACAGCCTCACACTATTTGGCTGTTTGTACGTTATGACCACTAAATCCTCATAAGGGCCTCCGCTTTCCAGGCTACAGTCCCCAACCTGTAGGGATGGCTGGCAGTTTTTGCTCCCAAAGGGATGAGCTTGCACTTGGCTGTGTTAAAACACATTTGGTTTAAATGGGCCCAGTTTACCAAGCAATACAGACGGCTCTGGGGATTACCCTGCCCTCAGGGTTATTTACTGCCCTGCCAATCTTTCTGTCAGCCAGAAATTTTATCTGCCATTATTCTATATTTATTTCCTGATCACTGATAAAGATGTGTTGAACAGCTTCATAGCAGAACCCCACTAAGAGCACCCCATTCAAGGATGATTGATCTCTGTCAACCTGTCCTTGTGCCACTTAAAATGTGCTTTATTGATGATTGATCATTATTTCCTCTCCACATCTGGGATGATTGAATCATACAGTAGGGAAATGGCTTTTCTCACAACACAGCAGCACCAGAGCCCAGAATAACATTTGTGCTTCCTGACCCCCCTGTTGTATGCCTGTGCCCCTCAACAAAGCTGTTTTGCTGACCTCAGACTCATCCTTTTGGATCACTAAGCTCCTTGGGGCTGGGTATAAGTATTTCTCTCTGTTTGCAGAGCACAGCATGGGCAGTGCTAGGCATAAGTAAATAATGAACAACTTGAGCTTAACCTGAGAAGAGCCCCCACAACCACAGTTCACCTCCCTTTATGATCTTTGAGATCTGGGACAGCTGTTTCTTCTGATGTAGCTCAGATTTTCTATGTTTGATCTTAGCTCTCCCCTCCTGTGCTTCTGAACAGGGGAAAGTGTGTTAACACCTTAGAGAATTGAGACCTAAACAAAAAAATCTCCACTCAGGTAGCAAGACATGGCACTGGGATAATAAGCAGTATCCGAGTCTGTATCCATCCTTTCTCAAACCAACCATAAGGCTTCCTGGCTATACGTATAGACCACCTAAAATCCATCCTGCCCACCCCACTAAGCTGCCTCTGTCTCGTGTTTACATTGATCATTCACAGAGCATCTTTTGCAGCCTGAATGAACTAACACTGACAAGTGCTGCCTGCGAATTTAAACTGGTACGGAAGAAAACCCATAATCCAGCAAACATGCTGAGATCTGTCTGCTTCCCTGTGTATTGAGGCTCTAGACTTTCTCCTTCTATGGCTGGATGGTTTTTTATGGTTCAGCTTTCTCCCCATTTGCTTTGCTTATATTACTCATTTACCGCATGACATGAGCTAGCAACAGCAAATGCAAAGCAGCTCTTGGATGCAGAGTGCAGTGGTGAGAAGAGCTAGCAGTGGGGCTCCTTCTGTCCCTGGACAGGAAGACCCCAGGATACCGACTCAAGAGAAACCCCTGGATTGCTCCACTGGGAGTGGGGGTTGCAATCCTGCAGGAGAAATGCTGCATCTGCGCCATGAACCCCCAGCACCTCCTGCGATTCATCTCAGGGGTCCTAGGGGCCTCCTCATCTTATCCTGCTTGTTTTGCCTGCCCCTATTCTTCCCCCTTCCCAGGGTGGGAGGCTTCCCCACTGTGTATGCTGCCTCACATGAATGCATAATCCACCCTCCAGCTTGGTTAGCTCAGCCCTGGTCTTGCACTTAGCATGGGGCTGGGGCTTCAGGTATGTCTCCCCAGCCTTATTGCCTCTCTCTATGTACATCCCCACACAGGGTGGGGAGGAGTAGATGATGCTGCACAACCATGCCCCCCACCCCTCTTTCTGCCGAGGAGGGAGAAGTCTGTGAATGGAAGCCTCAGCCAGCCTTCAGCCCACTCTTAGATCATCATATTGCTCTCCTGAGCGCTAACTGCAAAGGAGCACAGTTCATGACCTAGTGTTGGTGAAGGCAGGCAGACTAGCAGGCTGTGCTAGTCCCTGAGACTGGGACAGCACAACCCGTGGCATACAGCACTGTGCTGTGCCTCCCCTGTCAGTATGGTCCAGGCAGTCCCCATCTGGAGCGAAGGGAGAACTGAGTCCCCAGAACCAACTCTGCGCTGGACCTGTGCCCACACTGGCGATTCTTCCTCCACACCAGAGCTGAGCACTTCCACCCCTCCAGCTCTTGCACAAAGGCCATCTGGGAGCCTTCAGAGGGTCAGGAAGCGACTCAGATGGGTTTTCCACCCATGATGCCCAAATTCCCTTATGAGGAAAGGCTGAGGGAGCTGGGCTTAGTTAGTCTGGAAAAGAGAAGATTGAGGGCTGATTGAAGAGCAGCCTTCAACTCCCTGCAGGGTGGTTCCAAAGAGGTTGGGGCTAGGCTGTTCTCAGTGGGGGCAGATGACAGAACAAGGAGCAATGGTCTCAAGTTGCAGCAAGGGAAGTTTAGGTTAGATACTGGGGAAAACTCTCTCACTCGGAAGGTAGTAAAACACTGGAACAGGTTACCTAGAGAGGTGCTGGAATCGCCATCCTTGGAGGTTTTTGAGAGCTGGCCAGACAAAGCCTTTGCTGGGGTGATATAGTTGGGGCTGGGACCCCGTGAGGTCCTTTCCAACCCTCATTTTCTATTATTCTATGAAATTATTACATTCCAAAGGACATGGACTCAAGGAGAAGCAGTTGGTTTTCCCAGCCAGTATCAGGCCAAGGTCTTTGGTAGAATGAAGCATCTTTACTAACCTGGTGGACCCAGATTTACATCTCCACAGAAAGGTGTCACCTCTGGCTGCACAGGGCTATCTAGCACCCATCTGGGGTGTTGGGTCAGTGATAACTCACATTTAGGCTTATACACTGCATCAGGCATTGCCTGTAACTTTTGCTGGGGATCTCCCAACTGGAGAGAGAACCAGCCCCCCATAGGAAGGCTTGGCTGTTCAAGTCTAACAAGGCAAGAATCTGACTTTATTACAGCTTCAGGTCATGACCAGACAGAGCCAGAGGCCTGCTGGGATGGCAGGACACTAGTGAAGTTAACAACCTCTGCTGCAAATGGCTCCATGCACATATACTTTTTTGCATGCATAAATCTCTGAAGCTTCCTTAGACCCGCACAGTTATTGCTCTCTAATTAGTTTATTATTACATATTGCTCAACCTACTGCGTGTCCATTTGCAATTTGCAGCAATTTCCCTACTGAGGTAGCAAACTTGCTTTACAATTAGCCCTGTGGGCTGCTCAGCCACAACAATAAAACTCTCCCAGCTCTTTTTCTTCATTAGCAAAGTTGCACTCAAGGAGCTTTTATGGCAGTGAAACATACAACTCAGAGTGACAGGCAAGATTTTGGAAGAGCATCCCTTGCTTTCAGTGGGCATTAGTGCATTGAACTGCATGTGCTGGCACTCATTATTGTCAAAGGTTGTATGGAGTAATGAAGTCAAGGGAAAAGGAATATATTCTTACCATCAGCTGCTTGATGGTGGGGTGTTCTTCTGTCTCTCTGCCTGAGGCAGGCTCCTTATGCACGATCTCCACACGGATATCATTCTTGGCGGATACCACACCTTTCAGATCTGAGCAAAGAGCAAGGCAGTAAAAGAGAGAAAGAAGAGTTGTTACTCGCAAGCTATCATGATCTCAGAGATTTGGCTCATTTACTGAGAATTAGGTCCCCATCAACGTGAAATAACCTACCATAAAGAAATCCACTTTCTCATTGAGATGTTCTTTGTTATTTGCACCCAGGGAGTCTCACAGCATTTTGCAAACATTCATTAATCAAGCTTTGCAACAATTGGCAAGGTAGATAAAGGGGAGGTAGAAACTGTTTAATACACCACCAAAATGCAGTCACCTCCAGGGAGCTCAGCAGTAGCTCCTGAACAACACAGCAGTTTATGACCAGGAGTGAAAATGAGAGTGTGTCCAGCTGAATGCAGTCCTTTAGCTCAAGTGTCAGAATCTGTGATCTAGAATAGAGAACTTGTTGATGACACACTCAAGAAGTACGTGTGATAGTATCACTTTTCAAATGGTAGGAGACTCATAAAGATGGCTCTAACAGGGAAAAAGTATCTGGAAGCCAGGCAGGGCAATACCATCTTTATGAGCTTCCATGTTGGCCTTAGGGATCAAACTGCGAATACTACAGTAAGTGCAGGAAATGGGAGGCAAAAGATCCCTGGATCCTTCCCAGGTAACAGGCTTGATGCAGGGATTACCGGGTAACGTCCTCCTCGCCTGTATTAGCCAGATCAAACAAGGTGATTTAATGGGCCCCTTCTGCTCTTAATATTCACAAACATCCAGAGGAATTCATTCAGGAAGAAAGCAATCCCTAATGATCACCAGCAGGCCAAGCCTTGATTTTTATTGTGTTTCTCTAGTACAGTATTTGCATGTACCCTGTGGCCACATCTATATGAGTGGTAGACTACACAGTTATTACTATGCAGTCATTTAGTACTTGCATAGTACTGGCGTTACTGTGCAATACCATACAGTACTGTTTTTTTTCTGATGCTACCTTGCAGTAGCAATGAGCTAATGCACAGTAGCATCGTGTCACGGTTAGTGCCCAGAAACACTACTGCACAGTGGCATCCAACTCATCCAGGTCTACAAACCAGGTAAGTGGTGCAGTGTTAGTCTTCTGGTAGAATCCAGAGCCCAGGGATTGTCCACAAGCTGGATCCAGAGCATGAAGCTGTGTCATTTGGCCTGCGGGGTTGGAATTTGGGAGTGGCAGCATTAATTGCTGCACCTCTTGGAGTCATGGTGGCCACTGCTCTTCCCACCATCAAATTTTTGACCCTTCAGGCAGCCCCACAAGCAAGATAACTCCAGATGTGGCCTGAGGGTGTCCCCAGGGATCCTGAGATTCAGCCATGTGATGAGCGGTAGCAGCAGTAATGATTGCAACTCTGGGAGCCATGGCAATTAATGCTGCCACTGGACCCCTGAGGAGCCCCATGGGCTGGAAGACATGCTCTGCAAGCTAGATCCAGCCTGTGGGCCAGATCTTGATCAACCTGGTCTAATACATTCTCAGTAGTGGATATTGGAGGGACAGGAACTCTATTCACCAACCCTAAGGTTTTGAATAAGCATCACTGAGGAGATCCCCAGGACTGGACCTTTGGTTTGACTAAATGCCTGATCGTTGGGATCTTCAGCTGAACCAGTGGAAAGAAGCTGTAACATTGAAATAAGGGTTAACAAAAGAGGTTCTGGTGAGACTTCCCTGCTCTCTTTTTTCAGCTGGGTTGAGACTCTCACAGGAAGAGCCTTCCAAATTGCTCTTTAAGTCTGAGAGGCAACTAGGGATTGCAGAAGCCCTTGTGAAAAGGGGGCTTGCAAAAATTAATGAGCAAAGAATTAGCTAGTGTCTGCGATCCCAATCTAAAGCCTGCTCAATCAGCAGCAGCTGTTGCTGAACTCTAAAGAAATAGCTTGCTTTTTTGTGCAGTAGGAAAGCAATAGGAGGGGAAATGGGACTGAGAGACTGGGATGTTTCTGGAGTGAATGTTTCTTGGTTTCCCAGGAGGGGTCAGCAGTTTTTTGAAGAAGTCGTTTTTGAAAAATTAAACGAAAGACACCAAACACCAGGTTTTAAAGGAGAAGAAATATCTGCATGAGTCTAAGATGCAACGCAGAGAAGAATGTGGTTCCAAACAGCCAGCTCTAAACACAGCCCAAACTTTGAAGTTATGCTCCAAGTTGAGAATTGAATCCACCTATCATGATGGGTTCTTGCCTCTTAAAGGGTTTGACCCAAGCCCTGGATTCAAATACTTCCAAATCTCTGGGCTTTTCAGATCTGCCTCCAAGTTTTGTAGCTAACATCCCTCTCCAAAAGTGATGCACTCAGCAACTATGGTATTTTGACAGGCTTCCAAAGAGGCCAATTTATTTAAATGGTCTATGCCAGTGGCTCCTGGACAGTTGGCTGAGGAGCTGCAGCACTTGCTGTGGGCTACAGAGAGCTGGCTGCTCACAGTGGGCTGGCTTCTCTTCCTTGCCAGCTTCTAAATCCTCCTGAAAGCAAAAAAATGCATCCACTGCTTTGCCACAGGACCAGCTACGCTGACACGGGCACATTATGCAACTGGGAGGAGTGGTGGGTGCATGACCATATAATGTTCATCATGTAGCATATGGCACTGCTACTTTCCTATAATGTGGACCACATCTTAGCCAAGTCTTGGTGCCTCATTGACCCCTCTGTAGCATGGCATAAGAGTATCACGAGGTGCTCTGTAACTTTATAACCTGATCCATCACTTTCCTGGAGGAGCTTAGGTCCCTCAACAGTTCACGAGTTTGCACCCTAGAGAGTAAGAAAGACCAAGGTGTAAAAGAGACCTGAAAGCTCCTGTTGCTTTATGGGTGAAGGAGCAGCAGGGAGAGCCTCAGGCAGGGAAAGCTGCTCATTATGAGCTGCGAGGAACAGGTACCCAGGGATTTACCTGCTACAAGTACTTACTGCAGAACTAGCTGCACTGCAGTAGCACAATGGGCTAGAGCCCTGCATGGAAGACAAGATATCATTATCACAGAGGTCAGCAGCAGTAAGCCACCCCGGGGTTGAGCCGGCAGCTAAATCAGGAAACGCAGATGGCAGCTCAGGGGGTTACCTGACCGAAAGGGGCCAGGGCCAGGGAGATATGTATAAACACAGGCCCTGAGCCAGGAGAGGTGGTCTGGCCTTTGGGGACTACAGATGCAAGAGCTCCAGAGCATGGGGGAATGTAGGTGAGCACCTAGCTAGCACTGGGGCTACCTGGAGGAAGGTAAATAGAGGGCTGCTGTTCTACAGAGGAATATTACTTAGGGTTAGGCAGCCAGCCATTGTTTATGCTTGGACCAAGAGGGGGTTTAGTGTGTTTTATAGCCAGGCTTGTTCCTTGGTTACAGCTTCAACTGGTGGTTTGGGCATAGCTGAAAGGGGAGTACGTGGAGGCTATAGGGGTGCATGGTGGTTTAATCTATGGCAGATGCCAGGGAATGCCTGTGTTTAGAACCCTGTTAGGGTCTTGATTCAGGGCATACTGCAGGCATAGGATTGAGGGGGAGGTTGAAGCCTAGAGAGAAAGAGAAAGGCTGGAGCCTAGCTTGGGCAGGAGCTGGACAAGGGCCTAGGGACCAGGAAGGGCAGAGCCAGGGGGTCCTGTGCATGAAAGGGACAGTGACAAGGGCCAGGGGACTTAGGAGCCAAAGCAGGCTCAGTAAGTATATTGCTTAGGACAGGGTAAAGACAAAGCTGAATTAGGTGGTGAAGGGCTGTAACACAGAAGCCAGATCAGGCAGTGGGCCTAAGCCAAGGGAAGTGGCTGAGGCCCTGACAAGGGTGTAAAGGCCACAGGTGGCCTGGTAGTGGGTTGGGACCAAGTGCCCACTGGAATTAAGTGGTAACACCTGTGAGGCATGGGTACAGCTGTAGGGCAGGTCAGAGGCCATGATTAGCTTTTAAAGCTAACAGGTGCCCTGGGGAAAGGTGCCAATGGACTATCAAGGCCCACTTAGGGAGGGCAGTGGGGAGACCAGTAGGAGCCAGGAAGAACTAGCTGGTGTCTAGAGGAACTGGGGCTTGCTCTTGGACACACTGGGCAGCCTTCCTTCCCATCAAACAATTGCATCAGGGCATGGCAGGTGAGTAACGGGGGAAGGCACTCTAGAGCTGGAGCAGTGTAAGGGTTGTGTGGTCACCAGGGGGTATCACAACCCCCTGGAGCCTGAATGCTGTTACACAAGGTAGTAGTTAAAAGTTAATTGTTAGAGCACCTTGCAGTTCTGCAGTACTGTACTTTTTTCCCATGGATCTGAGCTGTATGCAGGTGGGACTTGAAGGGTCCTCTTGTATAACTATGTCCATTCCCCTTCTATCACTGGCAACCTCATCAGAGAAACTTTTTGATAAACTGACCAGGGTGGGGTAGAGGACAAGGTAGGGGTTTGGCATAGTGTTCCTATTAGGTGGCTCTTTCTAGAAACCTTCTAATATCCAGCCTAAATATATTAATGGGTAGTTTATATTTGGCTTTTGTATCGTTATTGATCATCATTGTATCATCGCTGGCTTTTTTATCATCATTGATCTTTAGCATAAATAACTCTTCTTCCTCCT